CTATTACTGGGGAATGATCTGGAGCTCACCAAGTTACTGGCTAAATATCTCTATTTGGTTTTTTGTCGTCGAAATACACTGCAGACGCCTGATCTCCCTGGAGACCAAGAGATATGACGATAGACTGCTCTGCCTCCATTCTTTTAGCAAATGTTTTGTGCCACTGGGGAAGTGATTTGTTTTGGATGTTTGTATGTGATGCCAATAAAAGGTTTGATGATGATGATGACTCGATGGGCTATTGGCCTGATCCAGCCGGCTCATCCTATTGTATTCTTATGCCTCCCCCTCCGAAAAATTCCACAACAACTTTGAGAAACTCACCATCTTGCCATAATGATCCTGTCCTCGACCCACTTCCCTCCCGTCCAAAATAAAATAAAATGTGGGGTGGGAGAGGAGGGGGAACAGCTTGACCCACTTCCCTTCCTGAAGGTTGTTTAAGTCCTGAATGAACATTTACCAGGACGCACCGTATTAACCCTTCGGTGACCTCCCATCTTCACCCCGGGCGGCAGAGCAAACACTAATGTCATTCAAAAATAAGGTTGTGGGTTTTTTTCTTTTTTTAAAAAAAGCACTCTTTCTCTCTCCCCCCACCCACCCCCCTCCCAGGCTCTCGGGGTCAAGGGTGCCCTCCTGCCACTTTGATACATTCTGGCAGGCGATATAATTTTGAAGAACTGGCCTGTTAGCAGAGGCCTGACCCAAAGCGACCCCACTCTGCCTACAGATCTTGGGTGGGATGTCTCCAAAGCCGAGGTCAACGAATGGTCAAAGGGATTGCAAAACCAGGGCAAGAGGAAAGAGAGGAAACAATGCCCTGTTGGATTTCTGCCTGCCTGCATTGCATGCAATTATTGTTTTGTTTCTTTAACCCGTAAAGTTGCAACTGGTGTTGAAAATATAAAAGTGTGAGCTTTTAACAGCTTTGCAACAGGCAAGAATCCAGCAGGGGAAATTTCCCCTGGAGGGGGGCTGAATGGGGGGAAAGGTTCACCCGTTGAATGCCTGCCTGCCACACAGCAGAATCCAGGCCTTGAACGGCCTTTAAGAAGGGGAATTAAACAAATTTGTGGAAGGGGGTTTATGGGTCTATCAGCAGCCACTATAGGTTGGCTAAGCAAAGCCCCAGATTCATGGGCAGTCTACCTCTGAGTAGCAATTCCCCGGGGGGGGGACACAATGGGGAGGACTTACAGGGTTGCCGTGGGAGATCTTGAAATATTCCAAGTTCCAGTCCACTGGAATCATCCCAGTTTTACTCCAGAATACCACAAGGTACTCTCCACTTTTCATGGAGGGGAGAAAGAAGGGGATTTCGGGAAGCAGCCCCCCATCCTGAGAGCGAAATGGGTGTTGTGGGATAGCTCAGCTTCAGCAGAAAACTGCAACTTTCAAAGCATCCTTGTTGAAGGATGCTTCTATGCCTATATTCTGAGAATAAAGGTAAAGGCAAAGGGACCCCTGACCATTAGGTCCAGTCGTAACCGACTCTGGGGTTGCGGCGCTCATCTCGCTTTATTGGCCGAGGGAGCCGGCGTACAGCTTCCGGGTCATGTGGCCAGCATGACTAAGCCGCTTCTGGCGAACCAGAGCAGCGCACGGAAACGCCGTTTACCTTCCCGCCAGAGTGGTACCTATTTACTTGCACTTTGAAGTGCTTTCGAACTGCTAGGTGGGCAGGAGCAGGGACCGAACAACGGGAGCTCACCCCGTCGCGGGGATTCGAACCGCCGACCTTCTGATCGGCAAGTCCTAGGCTCTGTGGTTTAACCCACAGCGCCACCCGCGTCACTATTCTGAGAATACTTGGCTCAATCTTTTCAAGAGGCAGTCCATGAGAGATATTATTTATGACATTTAGATACCACATTCATCTTCGAAGGACCTCAAGGTGGCGTACGTACGTGGCCCACTCCCATCCCATTGTAACCTCACTACACCCCTGAGACGTAGGCTAGTCTAAGAGGCTGTGCGACAGGCCCCCCCTCAATTTCCCTAGAGTATGGGTTGGCAAACTAAGGCCCAGGGGCTGGATCTGGCCCAATCGCCTTCTAAATCCAGCCTGCAGACGGTCCGGGAATCAGCGTGTTTTTACATGAGTAGAATGTGTCCTTTTACTTAAAATGCATCTCTGGGTTATTTGTGGGGCATAGGAATTCATTCATATATTTTTTTTCAAAATATAGTCCGGCCCCCACAGGGTCTGAGGGACAGTGGACTGGCCCCCTGCTGAAAAAGTTTGCTGACTCCTGCCCTAGAGCATTATGGCAGAGATTTGAACCCTGATCTCCCTGGTCCCACACTGCCTCTTAAAACTATGGCCTGTCTGAAGTTCCCCCAAGTTCCTAACTCAATGGCAAGAGAATGCCTTCAAAGACCCCTAAAATCTAGGGTGGGGGGCAACATCTGTGGGGCCCTGCAAATGTTGCTGGGCTCTCAATTCCAAGCAGGCCCAGCCAGCAAAGATCTCTCACCCGCAGATGTTCCCCAGCCCTGATCCAAACATTCAACCCTCCCAGCCACAGCATAGTAGAGCATGTTAAGAGTGTGGAACGCCTCCCAAAAATCCATCGTCTTCATCTGCCATTCCTCCAGTGTTGGTACTTCTTGTAATTTCCAATTTCTGGCCAAGAAAATTCTAGCTGCAGTTGTGGCATACAAAAACAATCTAACATCTTTCTTGGGCAGTTCCAAGAAAGTTAGCCGGAGGAGTCTGTGACCAGAAGGAGGAGGAGTACCAGGAGGGAAGGATATAATTTAAAGACCATCTAGCTAAATATGTTAAGATAATTTAAATAGAAGCACCTGCAAGTACCAGATTGGCTTAGGATTTAAATATGTGATGTTATAGACTAATAGATCTAAAGTTAAAATGAAAAGAAAGAAATATGTTAATTGATGAAGTGAATTTTATGAGAAATTAGTTTTGGGAAACTGTTACAATGAGATACATAGAAACTCAGCTAGGGGGATTTGAGGAAGTCAACAAAAAATGTTAACAAAAGTGGAATCATTACAGTTAGGATCTATGTTGTTTTTTTTTGATGTTTGTTATAAAATTTGGAAAATCAATAAAAAATTTGAGGCGGGGGAGAGTGTGGAACGCCTGGCGAGAAGGTGTTTTGTGGTGCCACCCCTGCTGCGGCAACAAAGGTGTCAGAGGGGCACAATCGCCTCCTGATTTTGCCCCTAATCTGCAACCTCTCCAACTTCCACTGAAGGCTGGGCCCACCTCCCACAGCAGCTAAGCCCCAGCAGGGAAGGTCATTCCCCCCTGGATTTTTGAACACAACACATAATTACAGGTGATTAGCGGCTTAGGTGCAGAGGGGCACCCCAGGGTGCATTCCTTAAAGGCTTGACTTCACGCTCCATCCATAACCTGGCAGGTGTTAGCCAGAGGGCACCCTACCCCTTTGATGGTGGAGGGGGCAGGGGGGAGTGGCTTTGTCCAGGTGTGGCCGCTTAAATCCCCCCCCTCCCCATCTCCCAGGTGCGCAACCCCAGAGCTGCACTCCTTTGTGGCTTTCCAAAGAAGAGATTGGACGCAGGCGAAGAAGCTTCAGGAAGCTGGGGAGTCTTTCTTTCTGCTCCCCCTCGATTGCTCACTCTCAAATGAACTTTCTGTTGGTTCCCTGCCATGCCCCTGAGGTTTGGGTCAGCCTTTGCACAGGAAAGACCCTTTAGCGTGTCAGGTCCTGCACCCTGCGGAACTCCCTGCCACTAGAGGTATGGTAGGAATCGCCGCTGCCCAGTTTTAGATGTGTCTTTAGATTCTCTTTATCACACAGAGACTGCTTAGAATTGTAATGTTGGAAGGGCACCCACGAGTCATCTAGTCCAACCCTCTGCCACGCAGGAATCACGGCTAAAGGATCGCTGGCAGGTGGCCGCGTTAAAAACCTCCAAGCAAAGTAGAGTCCACAATCCTTTTCACTCTCACCACCAGAAAGTGATATGCGGTTTAGTCGAAATCTCCTATGTTGCAACAATTTTGAATCCATTGGTTCGGGTCCTACCCTGCGGGACAGCAGTGCGGGTCCAAAAGAATCTGGGATGAGACGAGACATTTATGGATGAGGGCATTCAATTGGCTTAGTGATTTGCAACCAGTTGATTCTCACTTTCTGCCAATCTAACTCCCAACATGTTTGACGGAAACCGTCAGCAGAGAGGTCACTGCCCCAAGGTGCTTACAAACCATGGCGCAAGCGAGGATGCGTTTGCTATAAGCTGCATCTTAACTACCTGGATTAAGTCCTGGGTGGATCGGATATTCTTCCATCGTCTCTAAAACACAGAACTCCGAAAGGTCTCTATTTGTACAGTATATCCTGGCAGAAAGGCTCTTAGGGGCGAAGTTTGCGCCACTCCGTGGTCAAGCAGCAAACTGCAGCCTGATTCCAAAACACCGTACGCTTAAAAAGCACGTGGCTTCTCCCTTCACAGAATCCTGGGAAATGTAGTTTACCGGGGCCGGGCCGAGCTACAATTCCCAGCGCCCTTAAACTACAGTTCTCGGGGTTCTTTCGAGGGGTGTGTGTGCAAAGACAGGCATCCCCAAACTCGACCCTCCAGATGTTTTGGGACTACAACTCCCATCATCCCTAGCTAACAGGACCAGTGTTCAGGAATGATGGGAATTGTAGTCCCCAAAACATCTGGAGGGTCGAGTTTGGGGGGGTGCCTGATTTAAGAAAATCTTAAAGCTAGGGTTGCCTTTTCCCAAAAATGAAAATCCGGACAGAGTTGGGGGGGGGGGTTTGCTAATAAAGCGTGCAAGTCAAGTCCTGTTGCATTATAGGGTGTAAGGATGTGTTACTCTCAGGTAACACGCAGCTGCCCCCTCCCTGCGCATTCAGAGGTCCCACATTTTGCAGAGCAAAAAAACTCGGATCCCTTTCCCATTTCGCATTAAAAGACCCGCTTTTGCCCACGGGAGCAAAAAAAACTACAATTCCCAGAATGCACCGAGGAAGCAAGCGAGAGGGGAGGGGCGAGGGCCCCGAGGCATGCTGGGAACTGTAGTGCTGTTGACGCTTCCTAGAATCCCAGCCGAGGAGAGAGAAGGTCAGCGGTGCAGGAAGCGCAGTTTGGAGACTCTACCTTGAAGGACAGGTGGGGGGGAGGCGACTGTTTTTAAAGGGTGGGGTGGGGGGGGAGCTTTGGGGGTTTGGACCCCGGGGTTGCAGGGATGCTGGGGGCGGGGTGGGGGTGGGGAGTGACAGGCTATATTTTCCATGCACTGCGTGTAAACTGGAGCTACCTCGCGCGCCGTTTTGCAATGCGCTCAACTAGCAACACCCCCCTTGTTTTTGCAATGCATGGGCAAAATTCCATACCAATCATTTGTTTGCATGCTCACTAATAATCATTCCAACCCCGCCGCCTTCCCCTTTATTTGCAAAAAAGCTTGCATGCCACCTCCCACCGGTAATGACCGCCCGCCTCTCCAGAAAGCCCCCTCCCCTCTGTTTTCGCATCTGGCCTGCTAGAGCCATCATCGCCCCCCTCGTCCTTTCTCAAACCCCCAGGTCCGGATGCAACCCCGGAGTTTTTAATTTCGGAGGCAGACTGCCCTGGAAACTTAGCTTGGTTACTTGTTCTGGGATGTGTGGAAAGGCACTTTGCACATGCTCAGGGGAGCAGCGGCTCCTCCAGTTCTGGGCCTTTTGCCCAAGAGATGGGTTCCAGGACTTAAAAATAGAGGGCTCTCATTTTGCTGTTTCACAACCACATATGTTGTTTATTTGTTGCATCTGTATTTATTTATTTATTGCATACCCAAAGAGCTCAGGGGTGTGTATCGATAGTTCCTCTTCCACCCCGATTTAATAGTTCACCATATCCAGAGTTTGGATCATTCGTCATCTCTTAAGCATGTTTCCCTGACAAACATTTGATCTTCTGGGTGCTGAACAAACAAAGTTTGCCTAGCAATCTCAGTCATTTCATTTATCTCTCATCCTTAACCTGATTCGCAGGATTTTTACGGGGGTTTCAAGACAAACCTAGCCCCCACATCAGTCTTCTTAAGGAAAAAGTCAGAAGACATAAAACAATAAATCAACCATAGAAGAGGGAAAGAGATTCCCCCCCCCCCCGGACAGTCATTGCAAGAACCCCTTAACTAGAAAATAGCTCCAGAATTTCCCCTTTCTTTATTCTTTCCTTACCCCTCAATTTTCCTTTCGGGCTGCATCTTTTAAAATATTGCAAACATGAACCCAAGGACTGTCTTGCTGCGGCCAGCAATTGTACCAGCTGTGGTAAGCCAGCTAAAATAAACAAACAAATCTAGTTGCAGATAAAAATAAAAAAATGATTCAACGATAGAAGAGGGAAAGAGATCTTTCCCTCTTAGCTAGTCATCACTAGAACCCCGTAACTTAAGAAACAGTGCCAGAGCTCTCGCATCTTTCTCCCTCTTCCCTCTCCACCTGTTTTCCTTTTCTGCTGTGCCCTTTTTAAGACTGAAAACATGAACCAAAACAAGCTACCTTCTGCGTTGCAGCTGCAAAGAAAACAATTTCCCTTCTGATCGGATGTCGCAAGAACCCTATAACTAAGAAAAACTTCCTCCTTTCCCCTTCCTCTTCCCTCCCCGCCCATTTTCCTGGTTTTATCCCCAAAAAATGTTTATTGATTTTCACAAAATTATAAACAAACAAACAAACAAACAAAAACCATAACCTTATTAGAAATTACACTTATTAACATTGCTAAGTGACTTCCTCACCTCCCCTTGGTTGAATTTCAATGTATATCCTTTTAACGGTTTTCCAAATCATAGTTCTAATAAATTAACTTGAGCGTTAACATCCTTAAATCTTTTCAATTTGTAATTAAACATATTAGTTCATCACTTAGCTTATATAAAATCCTAAGCCAATTAAATATCTGCAAGCTGTTTCCCATTAATCTAACTTAACATATTTAACTAAATACTCATTAAATTTTGTCCATTCTTCCTGATACTCCTCCTCCTTCTGGTCGCGAACTCTTCCGGTCAGGTCGGCTAGCTTCGAAAAGTCCATCATCTTCATCTGCCATTCTTCCACCGTTGGTAATTCTTGCGTTTTCCACTTTTTAGCTAATAAAATTCGAGCAGCAGTTGTGGCATACAAAAAAAATTAACATCTTTCTTGGGCGATTCCAAACCTGTTATTCCAAGAAGAAAGGCCTCTGGTTTCTTGATAAATGTATGTTTCAACTTTTTTTTCCAATTCATTATAAATCTTTTCCCAGAAGTCTTTCACCTTGGGGCAAGTCCACCACATGTGATAAAAAGTTCCTTCCTTTTCTTTACATTTCCAACATAAATTATCACAGTTATGATATATTTTTGCTAATTTAACAGGAGTCAAGTACCATCTAGGCACGCGGGTGGCACTGTGGGTTAAACCACAGAGCCTAGGGCTTGCTGATCAGAAGGTCGGCGGTTCAAATCCCCGCGACGGGGTGAGCTCCCATTGCTCGGTCCCTGCTCCTGCCAACCTAGCAGTTGGAAAGCACGTCAAGTGCAAGTAGATAAATAGGTACCACTCTGGTGGGAAGGTAAACGGCGTTTCCATGCCCTGCTCTGGTTCGCCAGAAGCGGCTTAGTCCTGCTGGCCACATGACCCAGAAGCTGTACGCCGGCTCCCTCGGCCAATAAAGCGAGATGAGCGCCGCAACCCCAGAGTCGTCCACGACTGGACCTAACGGTCAGGGGTCCCTTTACCTTTAGTAAGTACCATCTGTACATCATTTTCATTATATTTTCCTTTAACACAGTACATGCAGTGAACTTAACCCCCCACCTGTTTTCCTTTGGTGCCGTGCCTTTTTTTAAAGACCGCAAACACGTAACTGAAACGAGCAAACCTCCTTGTCTCTTCCAGGCCTCTCTCGATGCTGTCCTCGGGCCTGCTGGTCCTCCGCCGAGCTCTCCGCCGGCCGATCTTCTCCGCCGGCTACTCGGCGCTGGGCGGCTCGCCCATGGAGAACACCCCCGTGGAGGCCTCTATCCGGGCCAAGCTGAAGCAGGCGCTGGAGCCCGTGCACTTGGAGATCATCAACGACAGCCACATGCACGCTGTGCCGCGGGGCTCCGAGACGCACTTCCGCGTGGTGGTAGCCAGCCGGCGCTTTGAGGGCCTCTCGCTCATCCACCGCCACCGCCTGGTCAACGACATTCTTCAGGAGGAGCTGGCCGGGCCCGTCCACGCCCTCTCCATCCAGGCAAAGACCCCCCAGCAGTGGGAGAAGAACCCCAAAATCATCCAGAGCCCCGAGTGCCTGGGGGGGTCCAAGCACGACCCCCAGATGGCCGGGAAGATCGGGGGGACGCCCCAGGCATGAAGCGTTCCGCTGCCAAAGGCCGGATCTGAGCATGTTTCTGGAGCGAATAAATTCAACACCTGTGTTCCGGTTCATAGCTGCAATTCCCACAACCGCAGGGGTTTGGGGTTAGGTGCCAGCGTCTTCTACCATTCTGCGTTTCCCTCCCCGCAATGGACACTTCGCACTATTCCTCGGAGTGTCATTCTGGCTTGCTTTCATGGAAAAAAATGAGATTATCATGTGTGCATTTTGGAGCTTCCGTTTTTCTGCCGATAACTGATGTTTTTTTCTGGGGAATCGCTTGGGTTTCTCAACAGTTCATTCTGGCCCGGCTTTTTGTAATTTGAGCAAATTAAAGTTCTGGCTTTGGAATTTGCAAGGGGCATGGCTTCTCACAGTTGTTTCCCCTTTTGGGGGGGAATTACAGTGCCGCAGCGGGTTGGGATAGATGACCCTTGTGGGTCCCTTCCAACGTTACAATTCTGTGGTTCTGCCTTGGGGTTTCAAAAGGAGGAGAGGCAAGCAGTGTGGTGGGGGTCATGTTTAAATCACTCCCCCCCCTCCCCAGTTTGAGGCTTGTCCCAACAGAGGCTGGTTTGGGTCATCGGTGGCGGAAGAACCTCTTTCGCACCTGGAACGCCTTATCTCCGAGATAAGCGCTCAGGTCTTGGCACCTGGTTGGCTACTGGGAGAATAAGGTGGGCTCCCAGCTCCAGAGGCAGTCTATCTGAATTCGTATCTGGTTCTTTGGGATATTTGGCTACCATGAGAACAGGAGCCTGGGTTGGATAAAACCCCTTTAGCCTGATCTAGTTACAGTGGTACCTCGGGTTAAGTACTTAATTCGTTCTGGAGGTCCGTTCTTAACCTGAAACTGTTCTTAACCTGAAGCACCACTTTAGCTAATGGGGCCTCCTGCTGCTGCCGCGCCGCCGCAGCACGATTTCTGTTCTCATCCTGAAGCAAAGTTCTTAACCTGAAGCACTATTTCTGGGTTAGCGGAGTCTGTAACCTGAAGCGTATGTAACCTGAAGCGTATTTAACTCGAGGTACCACTGTACTACAGATGGTCTGAAATCTGTAGCGGTCCAGCTGAAGGCCAGGATTGTATTTATTTCAGATCTGGCCAATCCAAAATCTCCACTCCGCTAGCCAATCGCATGAGCTAGTTCTAGTCTCCAGAACACATTCCTTGCCTACAAAACCCATGGTTCTCCTCACCTCATTTAATCTTCACAAGAGCCCTGTGAGGTAGACTCAGGGTTGAGAGAAGGCAGGGACTGGCCCACAGTCACCCCTGCGAGAGCTTCATGTGGGGGGATTTGAACCCGGATCTCCCGGGTCCTAGTCTGACACTCTAGCCCAGAGCTTTGCTCCTGGGGCTGGTAAAGGGTTACTTTAACCTCCTAATAAATAAAAAAAATTAAAAATTGTCCAGTAGCACCGTAAAGGTAAAGGTACCCCGACAATTAGGTCCAGTCGTGGACGACTCTGGGGTTGTGCGCTGATCTCGCTCTATAGGCTGAGGGAGCCAGCGTTTGTCCACAGACAGCTTTCCGGGTCATGTGGCCAGCATGACTAAACCGCTTCTGGCAAACCAAAGCAGCGCACGGAAATGCTGTTTACCTTCCCGCCGGAGTGGTACCTCTTTATCTACTTGCACTTTGACGTGCTTTTGAACTGCTAGGTGGGCAGGAGCAGGGACTCAGCAATGGGAGCTCATCCCGTCGTGGGGATTCGAACCACCGACCTTCTGATTGGCAAGCCCAAGTGGCTCAGTGGTTTAGACCACAGCACCACCAGCGTACCTTGCATGCACACTTCTTCAGAGACATGCACACGAAAGCTTATACCCAGAACAAACTTAGTTGTTCTCTAAGGTGCTACTGGACAATTTATTATTATTATTGTTTTATTTCGACTGCGTCAGACCAACACGGCTACCTACCTGAATCTTTAACTTCCTAGTAAAACTGAATTGTGAAATAATGCATGTCTAAAAAGTGCGTCACGGATATGAAAAGTTTGGGGAGCTCTGCTCTAACCACTACACCACCGCTGTCTCAGTAGAATGTCCCAGGGCTAATGTATAGCTTAAGGAAATTTAAATAAATCACTTCTTCAGCTACAAAATGTCACGGGGACTCCAAGGTGGATCTATTAATGGCCAGATAGGTTCCTTATACACCTTGGGGAATGAAGGGCATGTCGTGTTCTTCAGCAGCAAAATCCAACAGGTGAAGTTTCTCCCCTCCCAGGCACTCACTAAGGGATCTGTGCACCTGTTGGATTTTCGGCTCATCACTGCAGAGCATCTGAATGGAAAAGGAGGCAAGGACACTTTGCTGGGCTGGAAATAATCCAGAAGAACCTGTTTGGGGGAAAACAGTTTGCAACTTTTGCACTTTCTGCTTCTAGGTGCAGAGAAGTGAGAGGCCAGAAGAAATCTGCAGACTTGTCCTCGTGGGGCTCTATAGCATTTGATCTCCCTTGTCTCCCACAGCACAATAACAGATTTATTTGGTTTTGTTAGATTCAGTGCTTCCACAACAGTGTTTTATTTACCTTTAAATGTATATCCCACCTTTTCCTCCCACAGTGGCCCCTCTCCCATTTCATCCTCACCACAGGGAGAGTTAGGCAGACTGGGAGGGATTTGAATGCTGGTCCCTCTCTCCCTAGGGACGCAAGTGGCGCTGTGGGTTAAACCACAGAGCCTAGGACTTGCCGATCGGAAGGTCGGTGGTTCGAAACTCCATGACGGGGTGAGCTCCCGTTGCTCGGTCCCTGCTCCTGCCAACCTAGCAGTTCGAAAGCACGTCAAAGTGCAAGTAGATAAATAGGCACCACTCCGGCAGGAAGGTAAATGGCATTTCCGTGTGCTGCGCTGGTTCACCAGAAGCGGCTTAGTCATGCTGGCCACATGACCCGGAAGCTGTACGCCGGCTTCCTCAGCCAATAAAGCGAGATGAGCGCTGCAACCCAAGAGTCGGTCACGACTGGACCTAATGGTCAGGGGTCCATTTACCTTTACCCTGTCTCCCAGGCCCAAGGCCAGCACCTTAACCACTGTGCCACGCTGCCACGCAATTGCTATTTGAAGTACAATGAGAACGGGATGAAAGCAAACCAGAGCTTTGGCGGTACATGAAAAGTTGCTGGATCCTAGCAGGAGGTTACAGGATACGTGCTTATTGGTCTGAGTGCCCCAAAACCTTCACAGGTGCCCGCAGCATTGAAAGCGGGACCAGGCATGACCTTGCATGCAGCCGTTTGCCTGAGCGGCTGGAATGTTTGTGAAGATCCCATACCGACCTTGAGCCAGTGGCCGGCATTTCAACCATACCAGACCCTGCTTAGCTTTGTAAATAATGCTAGCGTTTTATTTTGTTTTTGCTGCACCAATAACAAGGTCCCCGGCATCTCCAGGTTGCAGTCTGAAATCCCCTGCTGCTGCCAATCTGAGTGGGCAATACTGGCCTAGGCAGTCTGATGGTTGTATAAAGAAGCTGCTTCTGTTACTACCTGTAAATCAGGCAGAACCATAAGGACTAGTAGCTTACCCTTGTTTTTTTAAGGGGAGGACCAGAACGCAGGGTCAGGCATGCAGACCGTGCCAGGCTGAGTCCCCAGTGTCATCGCTAGGTAAGGCCAGGAATAGTCCCCCGCCTGTGGAGAGCTGCTGCTAGCCAGCGTTGGCGCAACTGTTCTGTCCCATAGAAGGCAGCATCCCCTGTTTCACATTTTGGAAAACGGGCACAGCCGCTATTTTTCTCCCCCTTAACAAATCTATACAGTGGTACCTTGGGTTACATACGCTTCAGGTTACATATGCTTCAGGTTACAGACTCCGCTAACCCAGAAATAGTGCTTCAGGTTAAGAACTTTGCTTCAGGATAGAAATTGTGCTCCAGCGGCGCGGCAGCAGTGGGAGGCCCCATTAGCTAAAGTGGTGCTTCAGGTTAAGAACAGTTTCAGGTTAAGTACGGACCTCCGGAACAAATTAAGTACTTAACCCGAGGTACCACTGTACATCCTTGCCTTCGTTTTCATCCTTCTGATTTGCCGCCGCTGCGTCGAGCGCTTTCAAAGTTTATCCAACGGTCCATTGCAATTTTGCAAATGGGCACCTGTCTCGATCCAGGGTGTGAGGAGGACCTCGCACCCTGGATCGGAGCAAAGCTCAGTCGGCGGAGCATGAGACTCCTAATCTCAGGGTTGGGGGTCTGAGCCCCACGTTGGGCAAAAGATCCCTGCATTGCGGGGGGGGGTTGGAGCAAACCAGACATGCCCAACTTGAAGTAGGCTGTGTGGTTACACGCGAGCAGCACCATAACATAGCTGTCAACCGTCCCTTATTTGGCAGGAAAGTCCCTTATCCCAGCGCCGTGTCCTGCTGCTGTCCCTCATTGATGATGTCCCTTAAATTTCCCGGGTTTCAAAGGAAGCAGCTCCTCTCCCTCCCTCCCTGCCGGCCAGGGAGGAGGGAGGCTCCAACTGTGTTGCTTGGCTGTGTTGCTCACCCAATAAGGAGTCTAAGAACGACTGGGGGGTGGAGCTTGCATGCCTTGTGCCGATCAAATCGGCCGCGTTTCCTGGGGACTCGCCTTTGCTCAGCGCTTCCCGGCGGAGAGGTGACAGTGGTTTTCCTTGCTGCATCCCCTTTGCCGGGTTGCTGCGCTGTGGGAACCACCGCTTGAGGCTTTGTTTGGCTGCTGGCTGGGCTTTCTGCCTTTGGCTTGGAGGGGCTCAGAAGCTGAACATGCCTGTGCTTGGAAAATCCCTTATTTTGGCTGCTGATCCCTTATTTTTGAGGCTGCTGGTCCCTTATTTTCAAATCTGTAAGTTGACAGCTATGCACCATAACAGCCTGCTTCCCCTGAGCTCAGGACGAGGTAGTGGTTGCTCAGACCCGTCACCAGCGGAGGGGGCATTGCGATCGACCAGAATTCATCCAAGGATCGACTGGTTGATCGCAATCGATGCCTTGGACGTGTCTGGACTAGATAACTCGGGAATCCCTTCCAACTATATTTCTATGAACTTTTCATTATAACCGAATTTCTTTGCACATCCCCAACAGAATAACAAAAAGGAAAAACTCAACATGCACAACCATCGTTTTGTCAATCTTTTATTTTTTTTCATTTTTACATAGATTTTTTTTTTTACTTTTTTTACTATGAGTTCATAATTCCAGAGGGGGGGAAAGATTCATGTGTAGGGCCAGAGCCAGACTTACATATATTTAAATCCTTTCCCTAGCGATCAAAAACTATGCACACACCACCTCTTTTATTTTTTAAAACCTTAAATCATCATCATCCGCAGCACCTTTAGGAATATTTATTTCTCGACGCGGCATTTAAAACAACCGTCTCATCTCGTCGTCATTCTTGGCTTCTGTTTTTTATCTTTTATTTTTTTTTTATTAATACAAAATGAAACAACCTGGAGACGACAACTGAAGTTAATGACTATTATTATTTTTTTCCTGATTTTTTTTCTTCTCAATTGTTCTTTTACAAACATCTAAAAACAGCTAAAACCACAACACAAGGTTTTTTGTCATTTTTTTGATTTTATTTTGCATACAGACAGAACTACGTATGGTTTGGATGTGGGGAGTTTTGTTTTTTGTTTTTAAAGACCAGCTACACTGTAAAGGATGGAGAGAGACCGAAGGGTTGAGGTGGGGGGAAGCGTCACAATTTTGGGGAAAGGCGCAAAAGAGGGGCGTGTGCTTTGATTGATAAATACTTCCCGTGTGGATCTGTTACTTCCCAAAAGCAGCTGCTTAAAATAGGACCTTATTCCAGAGGCGTCAAGATTCACAAAGGATGAGAGGAAAGGTTAGGTTGCATGTAAATTTATTAGCTGCGTTGTCGTTCAACGTTGCAAGGAGGCGTGGCTTCAGCAGGGCACCGCTTAACCTGTGGAACTCCCTGCCTATTGATGTTAGGCAGGCTCCCTCTCTATATTCAGATAACTTAAGGGCTGAGGGTCTCTGTGTCTCGGAAACTCCCTATTCTGCTGCAGCCAGAGGGAAAGACCGTTTGTTTGTGCTTTAGCGCCACCCCCTCCAGCTGGCCAGAGGGAGATATTGCAGCTGCCGGGGGCCAGGTGACAAAGGGGAATAACACCTGGACCTTTGAAGATGCTGAGTTTGACTTAGTGCTTCGTTTATGACACAGGGTTCCTCTGTGTCTCCCCCCAGACTACTGACCAACTCTCAAGTCAGGGCTAAAAAAGTATTAGCCCTCTCCCTCCTGGGGAATTGGGGAAGCAGAATTATCCTAAATGGATAATCCTACAGTGTGAGCCAGGGGTTGTTGGGACTCCAGCTCCCACCATTAGTCACGCTGGCTGAAGGCTGAGAGTCCAGCCGATCCTCGCCACTTCTGGTATTTTTTCTCCAAAGGGGGAAAAAACCACACCGAAAACAGAGAGATTGGAATGAACGAGAGGACCGGATTCGCTATCCTGCTGAGTTAAAATGTGCTTTTTTATCAAGCTTTGCTGGGCAGTTTTTGGTCCACAAACGTTAAATTGGAACAGTGATTCTCCCTCCTTTCTTCTTGGTCGTGAAATAAAGGGCTAAGGATCTTTCGGTTTGTATTAAGAGTCCTGGCCCCCAGCTCCCAATGAGGCCCCTGAGTGGAGATGCGAAGGCAGGAAACATCTAAGACCATAAGAAGAGCTTGCAGGATCAGGCCAGCGGCCCGTCTAGTCCAGCATCCAGTTCTCACCACGGCTGAGCAGGATCTGAGCACAGGAGCAGCAGTCTTGTCCCTCTGTGGTTTCCAACAAAACAGCAACAGGCTCATAAGTATAAAACCCAATTTACTAGAATAATAACTAGAATACTGTAGAGATAGACTTGTAACCATTCGAGCAACAAACATACTAAGGTGCCATGTGCAAAACAAAGCCTGGAGATACTGTAAAAATGGAGTGGATAAATGTACAACTGTATCTTAACAAGTTACATGTGCAATAAACGTTGTACAGACTGGATAAATAAACCATTCAACAAGTAGCGTAAGTCCAGTCACAGAACGGCAACCCCATGCCGCCACAATGGCAAGGGTAGCACACTGGAGAATATGAACAAGTTTTTCAAAGCTGTTTTTCAAAGATTGAACTGGATGAGATGTTCTTCAATAGGTCTTGAGTTGGAAACACAAAGCAAGTAGGCTACTTGTTGAACGGTTCATTTATCCAGGCTGCATAACGTTTATTGCACGTGTAACTTGTTAAGATAAAAAGGTAAAGGGTAAAGGGACCCCTGACCATTAGGTCCAGTCATGGCCGACTATGGGGTTGCGGTGCTCATCTCGCTTTATTGGCCGAGGGAGCCGGCGTACAGCTTCCAGGTCAAGTGGCCAGCATGACTAAGCCGCTTCTTGCGAACCAGAGCAGTGCGCAGAAACACCGTTTACCTTCCCGCTGGAGCGGTACCTATTTACTTGCACTTTGACGTGCTTTCAAACTGCTAGGTTGGCAGGAGCAGGGACCGAGCAACAGGAGCTCACCCCGTCGCGGGGATTCGAACCGCCAACCTTCTGATCGGCAAGTCCTAGGCTTAACCCACAGCGCCACCCGCATCCCATTAACTTGTTAAAATACAGTTGTACATTTATCCACTCCATGTTTACAGTATCTCCAGGCTTTGTTTTGCACATGGCACCTTAGTATGTTTGTTGCTTGAATGGTTACAAGTCTATCTCTATTCTAGTTATCATTCTACTAAATTGGATTTTATACTTATAAGCCAGTTTGTGGTGTTGTTGTTTTGTTGTATTACTATTACTGTCACCACATTTGGTACTTTGTGTATATCCTCTGTGGTTTCCACCAACTAGCACTGGAGCATCTTAATTTGTCTTGGGACCCACATAAAATCAAAGTCGCATGAATACATGTCCCTCATCTGAGAGCAGTTGGTGGCAGTCAACCATGGGGCGAGATGTTCCAAAGGTCTGGGCCGGAAGATGAGAAGTTCTTCCGTCTAGATAGGAAACGAGACCAACCAAGCGAAAGGCAAGCTCTCCAATTAGACTGGTGGTACTTTTTTGTCACCATCTCTGGGGAAAGGGCCATCATATTGTGGTAGGAATTTTATGGTCTTAGATATATGGTAATGTTCATAAGTGTACCAACCAAGCACGTACATAGATCAGCACAGGAAGACCAATCTGGTACCATTTTGATTCCTAAACTGAGCAAATGTTTTCTCTGCCAGGTCAAAGTGGGAAACCTCCCATTGTCTCTTTCCTCACAAATCCTGTCTTAAGGGCACATTTAAGATATGAATAGGGTGTGAGCCTGTGACCTGGCCCAGGAACTATTTATTTATCATTACAAAAGACTGGCCAGGCTACCCAGGCAATCCAATCAAGTAACCTGCCAGACAAGAGATAAACAACGACAGGAGAAAAACAACATTCAAAATTTCTGTTTTAAGACTGCCTTTTCTGTGATGTAGGTATGATGTATCTGAGGGGTGGTCTTAGGTTACACCCCTCCTGTGATGTAGGTATGATGTTTCTGGGGGTGGTCTTGATCTACAGGGTGGCAATTTCAAAATTCTTTATAAGGCCTTGCACACCATTTTTCTGGGTTCCTCTTCCTCTCCTGCAGGTGAGGGGAGCACCCTGTTGCAACAGATCAATAAAACATACTAGCTGCTTTGCTTCTCAATATTCTCTGGTTGGCCTCTGTTATTTTCTCCTACCAATAGGGAACCTATGTAAGGACTCTATATGGGCTCTTGGATACCCCATAAGGGAAAAGGGCAATTTTTGTTTACAACAATAGCTTGGCCTTGCAAGCAGACAGTCCCAGATTTCATCCTTTGAAGGCATCTCTCCAGGGAGGGCTGAGAGACCCCCTGCCTGAAATCCTGCAGAGCTGCTGCCAGTCCGAGCAGACAATACTGACCTCTTGGGCCAATAGTATATGGCAGCTTCAGATGTTCCTATATCTTGGGGAAGGGTGGGGGCAATCTCAGCGGAGGAGAAGCCCGAAAGGCCCAGGCTCCAATCTCTAGTTAGGCCTGGACGAGACCTGACACCCCCGGAGCCCCGCTGCTGCCGGTCAGTGTTCACAACACTGGACTAGATGGGCCAAAGGTCTCTGGCTCGGAATTATGGCAGCTGACTCGAGTCCCAAAGCAAAACAGATCCACCAGCAGCCAATGACACAGATGCGCAATGAATGTACAGATTGTGGAGAGGCTCACAAGAGCGAAGCCCGGTTTGCGGGACGGCGGGGCGTGTTTTGCACCGCACCCAGAAACCCGAAGGCTCTTCCGCCCTTCCAGCAGCGGCGCCAACCCCGTCCGGAGCCCTGGAATGTCAAGCTAAACAAAAGCACACACCCGAACCGACGCTAGTTTTACACACCCAGAAACGGACGCTACAATGTGGGGGAGGTTGTTTTGTTTGTCTCCCCCCGCTGTATACACACACACACACAAGTGGGATGGGTGTGCACCGAGACACAAAAGTGTGCCTCTTGAGAACCCCTTTTTTAAGAAATAAAAAAGAAGGAGGAGATGAAAGGAAAAGGGGACGTTTGGAGCACGTTAACACACCCGAGATCTGTGAGATTTACTGTTTTGTACAAGCTTACACATTGGTGTAAAACATCGTCACATGTCCTCTACCAGATAGTTGGACACACATGCACACATACCCCAGCTTGGATTGGCGAAGTGGTTTGCGGGGGGGTCACACACCCTGAAATGCCATGGGTTCGGGAGGGGGGATCACGCCGCCCCCCCAATGTTTGACCTCTGACCCGTCTGCGTCTCTTTTGCGCAGAGAGACAGAGAGAGAGAAAGAAAGAGAGAGAGAGGCGACTTTGCGCCTCGTCCGGTCCCCCTGCTATTTCCTTGGGGTTGCTTTTTGGGTGGGTGGAGGGGGGTGAGGATTCACACGTACACCGATAACCACAAGAGGAAATTGGGGAGAAGGGCCGGGGGTGAGATTTGTCTGCGGGCGAAAGCCCGGACCACGGTCGGTTTTTCCCCCCCGGTTGAAATGGTACGACAAGACAGTCACAGTGTCTACAACTCTAGATCTGCCACTTGCCCCCCTCCCCTGGCAAGTGGGACGGGGCAGGAGCGGATGAGGGCCGAGTGCGAATCTCTCTCTCTCTTTTTCACACGCTCGCACGGACGCACGCTCACTGCAGCACCTGCCCCCGTGTCTCCGGCAGCTTGAGGGCCAGGGAGCTCCCCACGGCCAGTGCCGCTGAGGCCAGAAGGATGGGCACCGCTTTCGTGATGCCCACAAAGGACGTGAAGATGCTGATGCCCAGGACGGCAGCCAGTTTGCACAGGGCATTGAGGAAGCCGAAAGCAGTCGTCCTAGAAGCAAAGGAAGAAATAATAATAATTTTATTATCAGGAGGTTGGCGGTTCGAATCCCCATGACGGGGTGAGCTCCCGTTGCTCGGTCCCTGCTCCTGCCAACCTAGCAGTTCGAAAGCACGTCAAAGTGCAAGTAGATAAATAGGTACCACTCCAGCGGGAAGGTAAGCGGCGTTTCCGTGCGCTGCTCTGGTTTGCTGGCCACATGACCCGGAAGCTGTATGCTGGCTCCCTTGGCCAGTAAAGCAAGATGAGCGCCGCAACCCCAGAGTCGGCCTCGACTGGACCTAATGGTCAAGGGTCCCTTTACCTTTACCTTTTAGCCTGCCCATCTGACTGGGGTTGCCCCAGCCACTCTGGGCAGCTTCCCACAAAATATAAAACCACAACAAAAGGTATTGTGTAAGGTATTGGTTGTGTGTAGAATAGATTTATGAAAGATTTAGAAAACCTATTGATTAGAATATTTGTATGAGAGTGTATGGGGAAAATACAGAATGACAGATACAATTTTGCTTAAAATGTATATAGGAAGTGCAGTGTAAGTGATGGAAATCAATCAGTGAAATTTTATTATTGAGATATTTGTAGAATAAATTTGGAAGAAATTCTTCCAATTTTTCTTTTTCTTTTTTCTTTTCTTCCTTTTTTCTTTTTTGTTCTTTTTTATATATGCGTGTGCTTATCTGAAATATGTATGTATGTATTTGCAGTATTTTGCTTGTACTGTATTTTGTAATAATTATGTTAAATAAAATTTAATAATAAAAAAACCACATCAAACTTCCCTTCGGATGCCTTCAGAATATCAAGAAAAAGATGCACATAGGGGTTTTTGTTTTCAGGGAGAAATTTTGTTCTCCAGTTGCATCTCAGAATCAGGAAATAACTACATGTTATTGACACGCACAGACTCTCTTTGGGCACGATGAGTCTGCCAGGCTTTGAGGTGGCATCTCGCCACGGGAAATCTCATGTTTTAAAAACACAGTCTTCATGCCAGTCGCCTGCTGATCAGAAAAAAACATGACTCCTCGCCCTCGCTGTGCAAGCCAGCAACACAAATGGAGGAAACCAGAGCCAGTGTGACGTAAAATGGTTCATGTGTTGGACTAGGTAGGACCTGGGAGAGCAGGGTTCGAATTCCCCGCTCAGCCACGAAGCTCACGGGGTGACCTTGGGCCAGTCACTGCCTCTCAGCCTCACCTACCTCACAGGGCTGTCGTGAGGATAAAATGGGAAGGAGAACCATGTGCACCAACTAGAGATCATAGCTGTCAAGTGTCCCTTATATGGCGGGACAGTCCCTTATCCCAGCGCCATGTCCCGCTGCTGTCCCTTATTGATGAGGCTTCATTTGGCTGCTGGCTGGGCTTTCTGCCTTTGGCTCAGAGGGGCTCAGAAGCTGAACATACCTGTGCCCGAAAAATCCCTTATTTTGGCTGCTGATCCCTTATTTTCGAGGCTGCTGGTCCCTTACTTTCAAACCTGTAAGTTGACAGCTAAGCTAGAAATCCCTGGGGGGTGTTGTTGTTGTTGTTGATTATGGTGATAGAAAGAGGAAACAGAAGAGGAAGGAGGAAAGGCATTTAAAACAGCAACAACAACTTGATCTATACAGTGGTACCTCCAGTTACAGACGGTTCAGGTTACAGACTCCGCTAACACAGAAATAGTACCGCAGGTTAAGAACTTGGCTTCAGGATGAGAACAGAAATCGTGCGGTCGGTGGTTTAGGTTAAGAATGGACCTCCAGGAAGAATTAAGTTCTTAACCTGAGGCACCACTGTATTTTGTAAGCCTTCGCTTTCAGGTTTTTTGCTACCTCCAAGCAGCGTATAAATTTTTACTAAAAAATAATCTAGGAAATCAACACGTCTTGCTGATTTCATTACATCTGCTCTGTTTTGCAAAGCCTGTTTGTGCTGCTGCTTCGAAACGGACCTCAACCTCTGTGACCTGACCTCTAAGCCCCTCTCTCTCTCTCCTCCCACCGAAAAAACGCAGCACTGGGTTTCTGCTCCTCTTCAGGAACCATTCACCCTGCCTTCTCTCTCTCTCTCTCTCTCTCTCTCTCTCTCTCTCTCTCTCTCTCTCCCTTTCTCTCCCCCCCCCCCCTTTTCTCCTGTGCTGCCAAGGTCCCTGCGGGCAGCCTGGGCTGGCGTGTGACTAGCAAGTTGGATGCGTCACTTTTTCTCGGCTTGCCCTCATTTCCAATGCTAGGCAGCGTCTCGCTTCCCCCCTGCAAAGTGTTTATCCCTGAAAGGACATTGGGGGCGCTGGGAGGGAAGGGACAGGGCTGCACACTTTCTTTCTTTCTTTCTTTTTTAAGATGTTGCAATGCAGAGAGGGATGCAATTAACCCGCTTTGGGCCACCTCTAGAGTCCTTCGCAATCTAGACAGCTCCCGTAGTTCTGGCATCGCAGAAGCGTTCAGGCAGTGCTTCTGAACCCTCCTGTCCCCATTCCCCAAAAAATAATATACATTGTTGTCCTTGTAAACCATGAGGACTATCAACTTGGGATCTGGGGGTTCTTTTAAGCGAAATTATTGATTCGCAACAGGAGGGTTTGCGATGGCATATGAATTCATAGGAGCCAAAAGAAAGATCCGTGACACACTTTGCGAGGACACCTTCCCCCTACTTTGTACAATCGTAGAGTTCGAAGGGACCGCAAGGGTCATTTAGTGAAGTTGTTAAACCACAGAGCCTAGGACTTGCTGATCAGAAGGTCGGCGGTTCGAATCCCCATGACGGGGTGAGCTCCCGTTGCTCGGTCCCTGCTCCTGCCAACCTAGCAGTTCAAAAGCACGTCAAAGTGCAAGTAGATAAATAGGTACCGCTCCGGCGGGAAGGTAAACAGCGTTTCCGTGCGCTGCTCCGGTTCACCAGAAGCGGCTTAGTCATGCTGGCCACATGACCCGGAAGCTGTACGCCGGCTCCCTCGGCCAATAAAGCGAGATGAGCGCCGCAACCCCAGAGACGGTCACGACTGGACCTAATGGTCAGGGGTCCCTTTACCTTTACTAACTCCTCCCAAATGTTCTGGATTGCAGCACCCATCACCCCCTGCTCAGATGATGATTGCAAGGGGATGTTAGCTGGTGAGTTATGATTTCGGGGAAATGGCCTCAGGGGCCAGGATTATCCTCTGGGTTCCCCAAGTCCGCAGTGAAAGACTGCCCTCTGCAAATGGACACCCTGCCAGGTGTCAACTGCTGGTGGACAACAGAAAGATCTCTGCAAGAAACGTCCGCACCTTATAGATCTTGGAACTTCCAGTACAATTTCCTCCTCCGTGTTTCCTCCTTGTGATGGCCTGAGACTCGGGCTCAGACTCCAGAGGAGTCTCAGTCTGCACCAGACCCTTTGCCTCAGGCATCATCTGAACCAAGTCTGGGGCCTGATCCTGAAGAGCCCCAGTCTGCACAGGTTCCCCTGCAACAAGCACCAGCTGGGCCGAGTCAGGGGCCTGAGCCTGCCCTGGCTCCAGATGCGGGGATGACCTCGTTGCCTCCAGCTGGGCCATCACTTACAGCTGCTCCACTAACAGTTGGGTCAGGGGAGGCTGAGGCGGCCTCTGGGTCTGGTAACCCACCGACGTCTCCCAACGCCTGCAGAGACTGAGGTCTGAGAGAAGGAGAGACCTGAGTACTCGCAGGAGGAGTGCTCACATTCGGGTGAGACAGGGAGGTGAGTCGCCGGGGGATCAGGACTGGCCGTTACCCCAACAAAGGCTGTCAGACCCTGCCCCAGATTGCGGGAACAACATTGCTGTATGCTAGATCCTGCCTGAGATCCTGAACCTGTCCTTGCCTGGTTTCCTGCCTCGTGTCCTGCCTTGACCCTGTCGGACTGACTCCTACGGTTTCTGGACTGGTCCTGGACCGTGTTTCACAGGTTATCCCCGGGTCCAGCACACTCCTGCGCACCTTCTGCAGAATGACCCTAGGAGCCAACCCTCAGTGGCTGACCCACCTCCTTTCCCTCCAATTGGCTCCAATCAGCACAAAGGGAAAGAGGGCTTCTTTTCATTGGCTAGGAATGCTCCCCTTTCATGCCGATTGGTCGGCTCCAGGATGGTGGAGGCAGGGTCTCTGCTGCAGAAATCGCCTTTGACCACCACCCAACCGCAGACCCCTACAACTCTGGTAGGCTTTCCCCAAGAACTGGGGTTTCTGCAAAGAGGGGGAGGCATGGCTTACCTTCTATCTGATGGGTAAAGCTCAACCGTGAGGACGTCCAGGGCATTCCACGAAGCTATGCTGACCCCACCAAATAGGCAGAGGAGGGCGATCATGGCGGACTCGCTGTTCCCGAATGACAGGAAGAAGCAGCTCACGCAGGACATGACACTCGACCCAGCTTGATGCGTCAGGGAGAAGATGGGAGGGGGGAAGGGAAGAGAGAGGAGTCAATGGGATAGTCTTAATTCAAGGTTAGGACATGTCTGACTGCATCCATTGCCCTCTGCATCCATCGCAGAAGCCGATCTGTTAGGAATCGTCAAACAAGTTTCTAGACCTCATGGGGGGCAAGGTTCAAAACCCAGAGGAGGGCTTGGTATTACCCAGAGGAGGGCTCGGTTTCTGCAATACTGTTGATCAGGCATCCCCAATCTCGGCCCTCCAGCTGTTTGGGGACTAAAATTCCCATCATCCCTGACCACTGGTCCTGTTAGCTAGGGATGATGGGAGTTGTAGTCTGAAAACAGCTGGAGGGCTGAGTTTGGGGGTGCCTGGTGTTGATTAACAGGTGGTACCCAGCTAAGTCCTACTCAGAGTACACCCATTGAATTAATGGAGCCCAGTTAGCCATGCTGACTTAATTCAACCAGTCTGCAATTCCAGTTGAATACAGCCAAATAATAAGAATGTAGCAAGCTTTGTTATTAGTTCTTTCCTGTATACAAAGTGTGTAAATATGTTTGTATTTGTCTCAAGAGAGTAAAAGAAAATGCTCTCTCTCTCTCCAAAGCTGTCAACTTTTCCCTTTTCTTGCGAGGAATCCTATTCGGAATAAGGGTAAGGTAAAGGGTAAAGGGACCCCTGACCATTAGGTCCAGTCGTGGCCGACTCTGGGGTTGCGGCTCTCATCTCGCTTTATTGGCTGAGGGAGCTGGTGTACAGCTTCCCGGTCATGTGGCCAGCATGACTAAGCCGCTTCTGGCGAACCAGAGCAGCGCACGGAAACGCTGTTTACCTTCCCACCGGAGTGCACTTTGACGTGCTTTCGAACTGCTAGGTTGGCAGGAGCAGGGACTGAGCAACGGGAGCTCACCCCGTCGCGGGGATTCGAACTGCCGACCTTTTGATCGGCAAGCCCTAGGCTCTGTGGTTTAACCCACAGTGCCACCCGCATCCCTACAGGAATAGTTGACAGCTATGCGCTCTCTCTCTCTCTCTCTCTCTCTCTCACACACACACACACACACACACACTCATTGAATTCCCAAGGTATCTGGGTAACAGTCAGATGCAGTAGACTTAACCTGTACCTAGAAAAGCATCACTCTTTCAGCCCTATGTGCTTTTCAAGGGAGAAGAAAGGTCGTCACCCTCACTAGCTCATGTCCAAAGAGGTGGAGGAGCTCAGGGAATTTGGGGGAGACCTCATGGGGGGGGGAGGGCTCCCAGGTGCCACGATGCCAACCCTCCCACTGATGTAAACTGTTCATCAGGAATCCTGCCCACGCACCAATTTGGTTCCTAGTTCTCTAGAAGCTTCATCATTCATTCATTCATTCAAAATCAGCAACTATTCACACAAATGAAAATGAAGTTGTGTTGCCTAGTAGGGTCTTTTGAGCAAATCGCACGGTCTCTTTCATGGGGGAAACATTAACGAACGAGGCCAATTAGCACGAAAGTCAAAAGGGCCACAAAGCAACAGATTCCCTGCCCCTCCGAAACCTTTCTTTGCACCAAAATGCACTGCCACAGAATCGTAGAGGTGGAAGGGACAACGAGGGTCATCTAGTCCAACCCCCCCGCAATGCTGGAGTCTTTTTGCCCATGGGTAGGCAAACCCGGGGGCCGGATGCGGCCCAATCGCCTTCAAAGTCCGGCCTGGGGACGGTCCGGGAATCAGCATGTTTTTACATGAGTAGAGTGTGTCCTTTTATTTAATATGCATCTCTAGGTTATTTGTGGGGGACGCTGGTGGCGCTGTGGGTTAAACCACAGAGCCTAGGACTTGCCAATCAGAAGGTCGGCAGTTCGAATCCCCATGACGGGGTGAGCTCCCGTTGTTCGGTCCCTGCTCCTGCCAACCTAGCAGTTCGAAAGCACGTCAAAGTGCAGGTAGATAAATAGGTACCACTATGGAGGGAAGGTAAATGGCGTTTCCGTGCGCTGCTCTGGTTCACCAGAAGTGGCTTAGTCCTGCTGGCCACATAACCCGAAAGCTGTATGCCGGCTCCCTCGGCCAGTAAAGCGAGATGAGCGCCGCAACCCCAGAGTCGGTCATGACTGGACCTAATGGTCAGGGGTCCCTTTACCTTTACTAGGTTATTTGTGGGGCATAGGAATTCATTCATTTCCCCCCCCCCCAAATAATATAGTCCAGCCCCCCACAAGGTCTGAGGGACAGTGGACCGGCCCCATGATGAAAAAGTTTGCTGACCCCTGTTTTTGCCCAACATGGGGCTTGAACCCACAAGAGTCTCACGCTCTAGCGACTGAGCTGCATTTCATATATCCCCACAACAGGGTGAGCTCCCATTGCTCAGTCCCTGCTCCTGCCAACCTAGCAGTTTGAAAGCATGTCAAAGTGCAAGTAGATAAATAGGTACTGCTCCAGCGGGAGGGAAAACGGCGTTTCCATGCGCTGCTCTGGTTCACCAAGAAGCGGCTAAGTCCTGCTGGCCACATGACCCGGAAGCTGTACGCCGGCTCCCTCGGCCAATAAAGCGAGACGAGCGCCGCAACCCCAGAGTCGGCCACGACTGGACCTAATGGTCAGGGGTCCCTTTACCTAATCTGTCAATGGGGACAGGACTATCTATAACCCTTACCCAGCATCCGAAGTCGCCCGATTTTGTCCATCAGGAGCGCAGAGACTATATTCCCTGGCAGGACAGCGAGAGTGCCCAGGAAGCTGACAAAATAAATCATGTAGGCATTGTTGTCATCGCTGAAGTCCAGCTGGCAGCCTTCTTTGTTGTGGAGAAAGGTGCTGTTGATGATCCGGCTGTTGATGAACTTGTACTCAAAGAGGTCTGTGGGTCAAGAGGAGGCAGACGGAGGGTTAATTTATTTTTATTTATTAAATGAACTGCAGGGGGTCAGACTAGATGATTCTTGGTGTCCCTTCCTACTGTACAGTCCTGTGGTTCTACATGGGCTCCCACAATGTATAAAAGAATAAAAGGGAACTCACTTAAATAACTGGAGGTGGCAGGACTTAACCACAGAATAGGAAGGAGCACCAGGATATATATTTTTTTGTTTAGATGTAATTTTCATTGTAGGAACATTTGAAAAATTGGAAAAAGAAAATATTTTTTAAAGGTTTTTGTTTGCTTTTTTGGCACGCGGCAGCCTCAGACTTTACCCGTGTTGTAGAAGACGGTAGAGATGAAGGTGCAGTTCTTGAAGAACGTATTGCTAGATGTGATGTCCTCAAAATAGCATTCCTCAAACAAGGAGTCAATGAAAGACACAGACTTCATTTTGAGGCTTATAAACCTGTCGTGAAACAGAGAGGTTATGGGTTTGAGTCTGGTGAAATATTCCTGCATTGGCAGGGGTTGGAGTAGATCAAGGGTAGGCAAACTAAGGCCCAGGGGGCTGGATCTGGCCCAATCGACTTCTAAATCCGGCCCACGGACGATCCAGGAATCAGCGTGTTTTTACATGAGTATAATGTGCCCTTTTTATTTAAAATGCTTCTCTGGGTTATTTGTGGGGCATTTCTGGGTTATTTGTGGGGCCTGCCTGGTGTTTTTACATGAGTAGAATGTGTGCTTTTATTTAAAATTACAGGGAACCAGGCTGAGGGCCTTCTCGGTAGTGGCGTCTTCCCTGTGGAACACCCTCCCACCCAATGTCAAAGAGAACAACAACTACCAGACTTTTAGAAGACATCTGAAGGCAGCCCTGTTTCGGGAAAGCTTTTAATGTTTAATAGGTTATTGTATTTTAGTTTGCATTTTAGTTGGAAGCCGCCCAGAGTGACTGGGGAAACCCAGCCAGATGGGCAGGGTATAAATAAATTATTAATTATTATTATTATTATTATTATTATTATTACTACTACTACTACTACTACTACAAATGCATCTCTGGGTTATTTGTGGGGCATAGGAATTTGTTCATATTTTTTTTCAAAATATAGTCTGGCCCCCCACAAGGTCTGAGGGACAGTGGACCGGCCCCCTACTGAAAAAGTTTGCTGACCCCTGGAGTAGATGACCCTAATGGTCTCTTCCAATTCTAGAGTTCTATGATTCCATCCCTAAAATTCTCATCCAAGGATATGATAAGGACAAGTCATAACCCCACCCTGCTGAAAGTTGAGCACCACCGTCGAAGGTACTGTAACCACCAAAGCAGAAAGGTATTACCCTGGCATTAAAAGATAACTATCTTGGTGCTAGGCATGTTTCCCAGCAGAAAGCATTCCATAAATGGTAGAGGCGGGGGCCACCACTGAGAAGGCCCCGTTCTTGCGCAGAACCAACCAACAAGGAACAAACTCCCAATGGTCTTGGTCATGACCCGTCTGGCGAACCAGAGCCTATCATATGGTAGGGTTGCCACATTTCGAAGAGCAAGAGAGAGCGGCCACCTACTTGTCGTTGAAATACTCGCTGCGGGTGTGGATCTGGTTCTCCAGCGTGAAGTTGAAGGTGATGTGGCGCACCGACTCGTTGTTGAACACCTTGGTGCGAGAGGCGTACTCGATGTTCTGGAGGTGCTTGATCATGTCTGGGAACCAGACGGTCAGACCGTAGTAACTGCCGGAGGAAGGGGGTTGAAAGAGTTAGGAGGGGGAGGACTGAGAGAGAAGGGAAATCTCTGGAGACTTGAGTCAGACTGAACTACAAGTGTTCTATGCAGAGAACATCTCGTAGCACTTCGTAGTTGATTGCACCAGTTTGTTTCTGAACACAGTTCAGAGACCCCCCCTATAAAATGCCCAATATTGGTTGGGGGTTTTGTGGCTGTCCGGTTGCAAGACTAATTCAGGGGCTGACAATTTTTTGGTGTTTTTAAAGGTGTTTTTAAATTTTAATTTCAAGTTTATACATTTCATTAGTTCTACAATCAATTTAACATTTCAAAATTTGACTTCCTTCCCCCTCTTTCTGCCGTTCCTTAAATTTATTTTTTAAAAGAAATGTCTTCTGCATATCCAGATTCATTTCACTTGCTCATTTAATTACCTTCTGTAAATATATACTATTGTGAAATTGCAGGTTATTACAATAATCCTGCTAATGATTTTATCTGTTTGCAATTTATCTGCAAATATTCAATAAACCATTTCCATTCTTTTATAAACAGTTTGTTATCTTGATTTCTTATTCTTCCGGTAAGTTGCGTCATTTCTGCAAATCCCATAAGTGTTTATATCCATTCTTCCTTTGCTGGGACTTCTTCCTCTTTCTACTTCTGAGCAAGTAGCATTCTTGCTGCTGTAGTAAAGGTAAAGGGACCCCTGCCTATTAGGTCCAGTCGTGGCTGACTCTGGGGTTGCGGCACTCATCTCGCTTTACTGGCTGAGGGAGCCAGCATACACCTTCCGGGTCATGTGGCCAGCAGGACTAAGCCGCTTCTGGTGAACCAGAGCAGCGCACGGAAACGCCGTTTACCTTCCCGCAGGAGCGGTACCTATTTATCTACTTGCACTTTGACGTGCTTTCGAACTGCTAGGTTGGCAGGAGCAGGGACTGAGCAACGGGAGCTCACCCCGTCACGGGATTCGAACTGCCAACCTTCTGATTGGCAAGCCCTAGGCTCTGTGGTTTAACCCACAGCGCCACCCGTGTCCCCTACTAAGGAAGGTAGTAACACAATAAAATTCAAAATGGTGTCAAATTAATTTAAACATTTATTCCAAATCTTATTAAAGCTATTCAGTTAATTCAACAAAACTTACCAGCTTGACCCAGTGATACCAGCTTCTCAAATGAGCTGATGGTTATTTAGACCTTCAATGTGCAAACCACAGAGCCTAGGGCTTGCCAATCAGAAGGTCAGCGGTTCGAATCCCCGCGACGGGGTGAGCTCCCATTCCTCGGTCCCTGCTCCTGCCAACCTAGCAGTTCAAAAGCACGTCAAAGTGCAAGTAGATAAATAGGTACCGCTCCAGCAGGAAGGTAAAAGGCGTTTCCGTGCACTGCTCTGGTTCGCCAGAAGCGGCTTAGTCATGCTGGCCACATGACCCAGAAGCTGTACGCCGGCTCCCTTGGCCAGTAAAGCGAGATGAGCGCCACAACCCCAGAGTCAGTCACGACTGGACTTAATGGTCAGGGGTCCCTTTACCTTTACCTTTAAGTAATCCTGCAGCCCACCAGGGGGCAGTACCACCCGCCTTGGGAACCACCGGACTAATTAATGGACTAATTGGTCTGATTTGCTATAAGGGAGCTTTCCAATTTCCTTAGACAACACACACCCCACCTGCAGGCAGAAATAACACAGTTCTGCTCTGTTAGATCAACTGTGTAAAACAATCCCTGCACATGCTCAGAGGCATATCGTACAATCCTGTCGGTGATGGAGATAGGAAGCAGAGAAAGCCAGTTTCGTTAACGAGGGTGTCGCTTCGTTAGGCTTCGAACGGACCATCAGCCAAGGAAGCTTTCTCCCCGCACACCTGCAAACCAAATCACCAGCCTCCAGCCATGACTGATCCACGAGCCGTTTGCAATTATTTCCTCTTTGAAAATTATTTCACTGACAGCTCCAATTAACGAGAGCTGCCTGGAGATCAGTCATGGAACTGCGGCTCGTGACGCTGCCTTTTTCATTCTCTCACTCTCTCTCTCCTTCTCTTTCTCTTTTCCATCCCCCTGAGTCATATCAGCAAATGAGCTTGGTGGTTACGGGCTTTTGGAAGAAAAGGGAAAAAACATTTAAAAATATTTTTAAAATATTCTCCTTACACCGCTGCACAAATTAGTAGCCTTTGATTCTGGCTGCACGGCAGTCCTCGTTGCATAAATTAAATATCAGCTCCGTGTTTAACTGTTGCAGCAGCTGGATATTCTCCTGCTAATGAGCTTGCAGGCGAGTTTGCAAGGTGGGAAGATGTGGGTATCAAATCCTATAATCATAGCTATGCAACCCCAGAATTCAAGGGGGCTGTTTCACAGGGTAAGTGGGCTTTAACAGGGGGGAAATTAGAGTACAGTGGTACCTCAGGTTACATACGCTTCAGGTTACAGACTCCGCTAACCCAGAAATAGTACCTTGGGTTAAGAAATTTGCTTCAGGATGAGAACAGAAATCGTGCTCTGGCGGTGCAGCAGCAGCAGGAGACCCCATTAGCTAAAGTGGTACTTCAGGTTAAGAACAGTTTCAGGTTAAGAACGGACCTTCGGAACGAATTAAGTACTTAACCCGAGGTACGCAGGTGGAGCCTAGGACTTGCTGATCAGAAGGTTGGCGGTTCAAATCCCCGTGACGGGGTGAGCTCCCGTTGCTCGGTCCCTGCTCCTGCCAACCTAGCAGTTCGAAAGCACGTCAAAGTGCAAGTAGATAAATAGGTACCGCTCTGGCGGGAAGGTAAACGGCATTTCCATACGCTGCTCTGGTTTGCCAGAAGCGGCTTAGTCATGCTGGCCACATGACGCGGAAGCTGTACGCTGGCTCCCTCGGCCAATAAAGCGAGATGAGCGCCGCAACCCCAGAGTCGGCCACGACTAGACCTAATGGTCAGGGTCCCTTTACCCTTTACCTTACCACTGTAGCTGGAGATTGGAGTAGGAGGTGAAGGAATCAGTGTTGCTGAAAGAGGAATAGAGCTATCAGGCACAGCGCTGAAAAGCTATGACCCCCAACCTGGATTACAGTGGTACCTTGGTTCTCAAACGCCTTGGTACTCAAACACTTTGGTTCCCAAATGCCGAAAACCCGGAAGTAAGTGTTCTGGTTTTCGAATGTTTTTCGGAAGCCGAACGTCCAATGCAGTTGTCGGCTATTGTTTCCAGGGAGCCTGCACCAATCAGAAGCTGCGCCTTGGTTTTTGAACATTTTGGAAGTCAAACAGATTTCCGGAACGGATTAAATTCAGCGCTTTTGTTTTTGCTATTTATTTTGGGTTTTTGAGGCTTTTTGGTTAATATGTTTTTGTGACTGTGTGGAACCCAGTTCAGCTACTGATTGATTGGCTGTGTGACTGCAGAAATGGATAAAAGCCCCCCCATTCAAACAATGACCATCATCAGTGTAGGTAAGGGGAAAAAATTAATTATAATTTTTATCATCTACAACACTGTCTTATTTATTTTATAGTACAGTACATTGATTATTGATTTCCTTTTATGGATCAATGGTCTCATGTTAAATTGCTGTTTTAGGGGTTGTTTTTAAAAGTCTGGAATGGATTAATCCATTTTGCATCACTTTCAATGGGAAAGGGCACCTTGGTTTTAGAATGCTTTGGTTTTGGAACAGACTTCCGGAAGGGATTATGTTTGAGAACCAAAGTACCACTGTATATGTTTTAGTCTATTCTATCACAGCTTTAACTTTCTGTATGGTTTAAATTATTGTTGCAAAAAAAAATTGTGATAATTTTTTTGTTTTATATATTCTTTGGCCTTGAGGGTTTTTTCTCCTACGATCAAGCAGTATATGAAATTTATGAAATAAATAAATGGAATAAAGCTATACCAGCCCCACCTGAAGGACATGGTGAACCACACTGCCATCATCATCAGGGTCACCCGACGATATTCGGGAACAAAACACTGGTGGAAATTCGCCCAGACCTGTAAAAAGAGAAAAACATATTTTGAGCCTCTCCAGGGTGGGGCTAGGGGGAGGGAAGAGGGTAAATCAGTGTAGGTTTTTCACAGTTTGCTGAAGTGTGCAGGATCGGACTCTGAAGGAACTTCCTGTCTGTCTGCAAATCATTGCCAGAGTCGGGGAACAGCGACAGAATGTGGCCAAACAGTGCAACCTCTGTGAGGGAAGTGAGAGGGCCGTTTGGCTGGGCCCACCAAGCCTTCGTTGCTCCAGAAACTAACCTGCTGGGAAAGGTTCAAGAAGCGGACCATCCAGCGCCGGTACCAGGTCCCTGTGTCGGACTGAATCTCTACCAGCTCGTCTTCCTGTTTGATGGTCTTGATGTGGGTCACCTGTGGAGTAATTAAAAAAAAGTTGGAGAGGGAAAGTGACTGGGAAAATGATGACACATTTCTCTTCCAGGCTTTTTAGAGCATGGTTTCCCCAAAATCTAGGGTTCTGGACTACAACTCCCGTCGTCCCTAGTTAGCAGGACCAGCGGTCAAGGACGATGGGCATTGTAGTCCAAAAACAGCAGGAGATCTAAGTTTGGGAAGTGCTGCTTTAGATTCAGGGCAGGACCTTGCAAGTTTGTATGCCATGAAAGATTCCCGGCAGGGGCATTGCAAGGGGTGTAAACACAAGAACTAACAGGTGCAAATTTGGATTTTTAATGTCACAGCGGTGAGCCCCTCACCCTGCAAGATCACCCCCAAAGCAGTTAGAACCTAAGTAGATAAGAAGAGTCCTGCTGGATCAGGCCAGTGGGCCATTTATTTCAGCATCCTCTTCTCACAGTGGCCAATCAGATGCCTCTTCTGGCAAAGCAGCAAGCAGGATTCAAACACAAGAAGCCCTCTCCCCTCCTGTGGTTTCCAGCAACTGGCGTTCAGAACCTTTGCTGTCTCTGACTGTGGAAGCAGAACACAGCCGTCCTGCCTAATAACCACCGATAGCCATCTCCTCCTCCACGAATCTGCCTAACCCTATTTAAAAGGCATCTAGGTTGGTGGTGTTAACGGAGAAATCTGAGGGCTCCCTTGGACAAAAAACATGGACACCAGCCAGGAATACCAGAGCAAAACAGCAGCCAGTAGGCTTGGTCTTTATTGAAGACTGTTGAGACAGGACTCCCGCCTGCCACAAAGTGGAACAAGATGGAAGCCCTGAACAAAAGAGCACCCAAACTTTTATTAGATGCAGGTGGTGCTGTGGGTTAAACCACAGAGCCTAGGACTTGCCGATCAGAAGGTCGGCGGTTCAAATCCCCTGTGACGGGGTGAGCTCCCGTTGCTCGGTCCCTGCTCCTGCCAACCTAGCAGTTCGAAAGCACATCAAAGTGCAGTAGATAAATAGGTACCGCTCCAGTGGGAAGGTAAACGGCGTTTTTGTGCGCTGCTCTGGTTCGCCAGAAGTGGCTTAGTCCTGCTGTCCACATGACCCAGAAGCTGTACACCGGCTCCCTCAGCCAATAAAGCGAGATGAGCGCCACAACCCCAGAGTCGGTCACGACTGGACCTAATGGTCAGGGGTCCCTTTACCTTTTAATCCCCATGTTACCCCCCCCCAACTACATCATGGTTACATCATGAAAGGGGAGGACTGGTGGCAATAATCTGAGCATCCTGGACCCTGCCCCATGTCTCCCTTGCCCTCCACCAAACACCCATCAAGTGAAACAAAAGAGATATTTACATTTCCCTGTTTCCCAGCCAAGTTAATCACACCCTTTTGTCTTCACCTGGTTTTGTTATTTCTGGAATGGCTACCTGTCTGGCACTCAGGTATCAGGATGCCAGGGATTATCCCTCAGGCAGAGGGGCTGCTGAGGAGCTGAGCTCACAGGTCTATATGGATTGCTGAAGTTTTCCCAGTGAGCCAGTACATAGATACATCTATCAGTGAATTGTTACATTTGGTATCGTGCAGCAAAGGCCCTTTGAATAGATAGGAAGAAAACTCTGATGAAGTGTTTTGTGGGGACAAATCACAAAAGTCACAAAAGTGATTGTGCTGATTTGGTAGTGGGCTGCATGTGCATGTGCCCCTCTGCTGGAGGGGCAACCCCCCCCAAAACCTATATAAAAATTCCTGCAACAGTGGCCATCATTGTCTCCTGTGGCAGGGAGTTCCACAGTTCGTTTATACGCTGTTTGTCCATTTTAGTCTGCTGATGACCCCTCACCGAGAAGACTCGCTCGGGGTGACCCTTGGCTCTCATGTTGGTGTCGTGGACCTGCTTCAGCACCATCCAGGCTTCGTCGTGTTTCCCGTTCTATAAAGGGAAATGTTACATTTAAAAAAATAACAAAGCCATTAACCAATATTCTGCCCTGGACAGCTCTTGAGCACAGACACTGGAGAATTCTGACGAAAACAGAAATTGCCAGCATTCACTTATTGATCAGAAATCAATTCAGCAGATACGATTGAGATTCACTGTTGCTGCTTGGGACAGAAATGGAAACAAGAAGAATTACCGATGAAAGAAGAATGGCAGACGAAATTAATGGATCATGCAGAATTAGAAAGGTGACAGGAAGGATTCGAAACCTGCGGGACCAGAGATTCTCAGAGGACTGGAGTAAATGTTTGAACTATTTGAAAAGCAATTGTAATAAACAGATTACGCTAGTAGGATTGCATGAAGTTTTGTAAGGAGGATTATGCGAAATATTGCAGAGAAGATTAAGAGAATTATTAGTTAAGGACTATTAAAAGTAATAAGGAAATTAATGAAATGTAGATTAAGTGATAAAAATTTGAAAAATCTTCAGATGTGGTTGATGGAAGTCCAAGACATTGTATAAGATAAGAAAATATGTTATATGATTGTTGGGAATCGTGTGTGTGTGTGAGAGAGAGAGAGATTCAGTGTTGTTGCTTTTTGAGATGCAAATGATATGCAGTTGATTGCATTTCCCCCTCTACATTGTGTTTCCCTTGCACAGATGGGGTGCAAGAACATAATGACAACGTGACCTATGTAATGACTTCATTAATCACATAATTTACATAAGTTGTGTAAATCATGTATGTTACACACGTGTCTTATGTTCTTGCCGTTATGAATCTATATACGGCATTTCCTATCGAGGAGAAAATCAAAGTGGTTCACAAAGAGCAAAATAGCCAAGAATAAAACTGATGACAAAAAGGCATCTACTGTAATTAAAATATTAGTATTGGCATCAGTATTTGTATTGAATTAGTATTCAATCAGTTAAATTAATACGAATACTAAATTAATTAATACTAATAGTGATTTAATTAGTGTTAAATCAGTATTAGTATTAAACCCGCATGTCCCTGCCTGGGCTGGTTACAGACATTTAAAATTCAGTATTAGAAAAAGTTAAAACACATTACAATCAAGGGAAGACAGAGTAACTCACCCATAATTAAAATATACAATAAACAAGCCCATTAAAACAGTGTGCTAGTTAAAAACTTAATAATAATAATAATAATACTTTATTTGTACCCTGCCCATCTGACAGGGTTGCCCCAGCCACTCTGGGCGGCTTCCAACATATATAAAAACATAATAAAACATTAAACATTAAAAAGCTTCCCTGCACATGGCTGCCTTCAGATTCCTTCTAAAGGTTACATAGCTACATATGTCATGTAAGCTTTGCTATTTCTCCACAGCAGACAACTGTATGAATAATGTCATTTTTGGCAGGAGGCGGACTGCAGCAGAATGGAAACAGCGCTGCGTGCGAGGGATAGAGGGTGAATGGACAGCGGCGCCTTAGCACTTCCCCATGTTTGAAATCAGAGGCCAGCTCACCCATTAGGCAAGGTGAGATGATCCACTTGGATGTCAGGATCCACAGGGCAGCAGATCCCGCCTCCGAGGAATGCATCACCCAAGGAATGCTGCAGCAGTGGCAATGACAGCTGTGGCTCACTCCTCTGCCGCTTCCTCAACACCCCTTCACACCGCCTCTACAGCAGCCTCCTGTCAATCTTTATTCACCCTGCCCCCTTGTTCCTGATGTAGATCTTCATTTACCCCCTTCCTCTCTTGTCAGAACCTATCGGTGTTTTGCAACTTTCTGACTAGTTGCAGGACCTTAGCCAGACCTAGCAGAGTAAACGCAGAGTTCACGAAAGCAATTGGCAACTTGGCTGCAGACAGGATGGACGAAGCAGGAACCAGGAACTTGTAGTTAGGTGTTTATTATATACAGTGGACTATTTACAGGAACAGAACAGAACACGGATCTTTGACTAGCTCCCTCATACACGACTCACAGCTCCTACACTCAAACTCGTACTAACACACATTCCAGTTAGTAGGCCATTAATCATTATTCCCATGAGAGAGCTTGACCAATCATGGAGCTGTCTCCATGCCTCTGTATCACCAGGCAGACTTACTCCTTCACACTGCCTTGGCTGTCTGCCAAACCCTAATTGACTCTGTGTGTGTAGCTGCACGTATGCAGATTCCCAACATCCTCACCACTAGGTGGGTGCCATTTTGAGGTTCACCTCAGCTGCCAAAATGTCTTGGGCCAGCCCTGGAGACACCAACCCACTGGGTCTTTTCCCCTCCCCACATTCCAGCCTTGCCCTGATGCCTTCCTCCATCTCTTCCCCACCTCCCTTAAGCCGTTTTGTTCCTTTTACCTCCAAGAAAAAGCGGGGGCTCTCTGGCATGGTGGTGAGGGCTCCGATGGCGAAGACGGACGGGAAGGCACAGACCAGGACGAAGACGCGCCAGCTGTGGAACTGGTACGCAGACCCCATTTGGAAGCTCCAGCCTTCGGTGGGGAAATATCCCCGGAGGGTGGGAAAAGAAGAGGATGGGAGGATTGGAAAATAAAGATCCATTACACCCACTTCTCTCCCTGCACGTGCCCCAAATCTCTTCCATTTCACAACATGCCACAATTGTGCACCTTCCAAAGCAGAAACATGCAAGCTCAGAAATTTGCACTGGGTTCAGAATGCAGATCCCAAGTTTCCAGCCCCTAAGACGGATAAGGGGTGCCAAGAAGGCGAAATAAAATGTCTAGCGGTTTTTGAGGCAAGGTGGTTTGCTCCTTGCATGAATCCCCTTCACATATATGCAAATGAGCCCCATATGCATAATCAATAGCCCATGGGTAAAATCCAGCTCTTTTCCCAGTATAGGATTTGTGCATGATTGGGGCCAAATGGAGAGAGGAAGCCCCCGGTCGGTTGGTCTCCTTCGTCCCTGGCGATTTCCCATCCCTTACCGTAATGGGGGATGATCGCCCATGCCATGGCAGACGCATAGATGCCCCCAATCATCCAGAACATGCACAGCCAGCTGAGGTGCTCCCCGCGCTTCTCCTGGGCCAGGAACTCTGAATAGTAGGAGAAAACGATGGGAATCGACCCGCCAATACTAGAAAAAGGAGAGAGAGAGAGAGAAAGAGATGTGAAAAACATGCTGGTGGGGTCTGAACCACTTCCAAGTTCAAGCTGAGTGGAGGGCAAAGGGCAATTTTTGTTTGACTATAGGTAAAAAGGTAAATATAAAGGTAAAGGACCCCTGGATGGCTAAGTCCAGTCAAAGGCAACTATGGGGTGTGGCGCTCATCTCGCTTTCAGGCTGAAGGAGCCGGCGTTTGTCCACAGACAGCTTTCCGGGTCATGTGGCCAGCATGTCTAAACTGCTTCTGGCACATGGAGGTTCATGACAAGTGCCAGAGCGCACAGAAATGCCGTTTACCTTCCCGCCGCAGTGGTACCTATTTATCTGCTTGCACTAGCGTGCTTTCGAACTGCTAGGTAGGCAGGAGCTGGGACAGAGTGCAGATTCGAACCGCCAACCTTCTGATCAGCAAGCCCAGGAGGCTCAGTGGTTTAGACCACAGCGCCACCCGCATCCCTTGTTTGACTATAACCCCAATTTGAAAAAGCAAAACCCACACAACCCACTGGATGGTGTCAGAGGGAGAATCAGGCCAGCAGATCAATTAGCTGTACATTTCTTTGTTTTTTAGTTCTAGCATAAAATCCAGATGAACCAATGTGTTTCGAGCAGGTGTGTGCAACCATTTGCATGACCCCAGTTCAGTCTTCATCAGAATTTATTCCCCAGAGCCAGAAGTTCAGCACATGGCTGTGTGAGGATATCCATCTCTCTCACACACCTCCCTTCATTTTAAAAACAATTTGGAAAAGCTAAGTTCCTAGTTCTCATAGTTTGAATGCCGTGATGGGGTGAGCTCCCGTTGCTCGGTCCCTGCTCCTGCCAACCTAGCAGTTCGAAAGCACATCAGAGTGCAAGTGGATAAATAGGTACCACTCCAGCGGGAGGGTAAACTGTGTTTCTATGCTCTGGTTTGCCAGAAGCGGCTTAGTCATTCTGGCCACATGACCCGGAAAAACTGTCTGCGGACAAACGCTGTCTCCCTCGGCCAGTCATGTGAGATGAGCTCCGCAACCCCAGAGTCGTTCACAACTGGACCTAATGGTCAGGGGTCCTTTATCTTTCTTTTTAAGTTCATAGTTCATGGTGATAGAAAAGAAGGAGGAGGAAGAGGAGGAGGGGGAGGGGGGAGAAAACGAAGAGGAGGAGGAGGAGGAGGAGGAGGAGGAGGAGGAAGAGATGATGTGCTGAAGGCTCGAACAGAGATCCCCAAAGGGGATCTCCCATAATCTGGGGACCGAACACAGAACACGCCTTACCCCACGCCGGAGAGGAGCCGGCAGAAGAGGAAAGTGCCATAACCCTGGACAAAGGAGGAGAAGAAGGCGAAGACACTGTTGACAGAGAGGGACATCAGGAGGCACTGCCTGCGCCCAAGCCGGTCCGCCAGGCCGCCCCAGAGGAAGGCACCGACCATCATGCCCAGGTAAACAATGAGTCCTAGAGGAAGACAAGGAGAGCACATAGCAGAACCTCTCCCCTCTCATCGGCCACCGTTAGGGAAGATTCGCCGCCAGGGATGGGGAACCATTCTCTGCCCAAGGGCAACAATTGCATATGGGAAACCCTTTGGAAGCCACAACTGCCCTCTCTTGTACAATAGGCTACTTTTCTGCAGAACTGGCCCTGTCACAAGCGGACATTAAGACTCGTTCCACATTCATAAAGCAATCGATCATTTAGTGTGGCAGCACCAACGCTTGGGAACTCCCTGCCTGTTGACATGGTGCAAGCCCTTTCACGGTACAGTCGTACCTCGGAAGTCGAACGGAATCCGTTCCGGAAGTCCATTCGACTTCCAAAACATTTGGAAACCAAAGTGTGTCTTCTAATTGGCCGAGGAGCCACCAGACGTTCGGCTTCCAAAAGAACGTTCAAAAACTGGAACAATCACTTCTGGTTTTCAATCATTCAGGAGCCGGAACGTTTGACTCCCAAGGCATTCGGGAGCTGAGAGGTACAGCTGTACTTTTTTCCGAATCCTGTTAAAAACACTTTTGCTTAGACAAGCCAACTTGGACATGGAGACACATGCTTCAATCTGCTTTTAACTTGTTGCTGGTTTTTTCTTTTGAATACGTTACAGGGCTGTTTTTACTGATAATTTTGTTTCATTCCCTTTGCAAGAGCCAGCATGGTGTAGTGGTTAAGAGCAGTGGACTCATAATCTGGTGAACCGGGTTCGCGTCCCCGCTCCTCCACATGCAGCTGCTGGGTGACCTTGGGCCAGTCACACTTCTCTGAAGTCTCTCAGCCCCACTCACCTCACAGAGTGTTTGTTGTGGGGGAGGAAGGGAAAGGAGAATGTTAGCCGCTTTGAGACTCCTTTGGGTAGTGATAAAGCGGGATATCAAATCCGAACTCTTCTTGCAACACACTTTGAGATTTTGCAAACTCATATATAGTGGTACCTCAGGTTGAGAACTTGATTCGTTCAGGAGGTCCGTTCTTAACCTGAAACTGTTCTTAACCCGAAGCACCACTTTAGCTAATGGGGCCTCCCTCTGCCGCCACGTGATTTCTGTTCTCATCCTGAAGCAAAGTTCTTAACCCGAGGTACTATTTGTGGGTTAGCGGAGTCTGTAACCTGAAGCGTCTGCAACCTGAAGGGTCTGTAACCCGAGGGACCACTGTATAAGTTTTGTCAAATGATGAATAGATAATACACACATGCACACTCCCTGTCCCCCATTCAGGCAAGCACAGGCATTATCAGAGTTCAAAGACATGTCCCAAGCCAAGCAAAAACATTCCAGGAGGGTTTGCACAAGGAGAGGTGTGAGCTGGGGAGAACTCCAAGGGCCAGACAGAGGAGTCTTTTGGCCCCCAGCAGAGATTCCCCATCCAATGTGGCATAGTGGTTAGAGTGTCAGACTAGGGCATGGGAGACCAGGGTTTGAATCCTCTCCTTCAGCCATGAAGCTCACTGGGTAACCTTGGCAGGGGGCAGTCACTTCCACCGAGCCTAACCTAGCTCACAGGGTTGTTGAAACAAAATGAGGAGGAGGAGAACTGTGAACGGCACCTTTAGCTCCCTGGATGAAAAAAGGGTAGGTTATAAATGTGAAAATAAAATTTAGATGTGAGGGTCCCTGCCCCCTGCCCCCAGATACAGCCAGGCTGAAGTCCTGCCTTCCCCGTGCAGTTTCATGAGTTCTTGGAGAGCGCTGGAGTTTGGGAACTCTGCTCTCCTATATACAGAAAAATGCAAGGCTGTCGTCACACAGCCAGCATTGGAGGACTTGCATGAAGTCAGAGCGCAGTGCCCATTGGAGGATTTGCAGCGCTGCATCACAAATCTGGATTTGCATAGAGAAGGCGGGGAGAGGGGAGCAAATGAGAATGTTGTTGTTTAGTCATGTCCGACTCTTCGTGACCCCATGGACCAGAGCACGCCAGGCCCTCCTGTCTTCCACTGTCTCCCGCAGTTTGGTCAAACTCATGCTGGTAGCTTCGAGAACACTGTCCAACCATCTTGTCCTCCGTCGTCCCCTTCTCCTAGTGCCCTCCATCTTTCCCAACATCAGGGTCTTTTCCAGGAAGTCTTCTCTTCTCATGAGGTGGCCAAAGTATTGGAGCCTCAGCTTCAGGATCTGTCCTTCCAGTGAGCACTCAGGGCTGGTTTCCTTCAGAATGGAGAGGTTTGATCTTCTTGCAGTCCATGGGACTCTCAAGAGTCTCCTCCAGCACCAGAATTCAAAAGCATCAATTCTGCACAATACCCATGGTCTGAATCGGTACTGTGCAGCTTCCTGTGTTTCTAGACCCTTTGGCCTCATCCAGCAGGCTCTCCTTATCTTCTTCCACCACCGTCCAAACTGTAAGGGCTTTCTGGCCACGGTGCACCATCCTCAGGCAGCACCTGGCAAATGAAACACCCTCAGCTCCTTCCCTTCGCTGGGGGTGATGCAGAAGGGCCAGGGAGACTATGCCTGGCTCAGCAGGGGACTCTGGTGACTCAGCACGTGGGTGTTGTGCGGCAGCTGGAGTCAAACGATGGCAACAGCGCCTGGGCGGTTTTCACTGCAGTGGGACTCGGCCTCCGTGCGGCAGCGCACTTTGCTCTGGGCACACAGGGGTGGGGAGGGGGTGGCGTAAAGAGAGGAGGAGTGGGATGGGAAAGGCCATCGCTGCGTCTCGCCCTCCTGTGGGCGGTGGGCAGATAATCCCTCCAGCCGTGATGAGAACTGGGCACCCTGCGGCGGCCAAGTGGCTCCGCTAAGCCGCTTGCCACTGCGTCCAGCTAATCCCCGGATTAAGGCACCAGATATCAGGCCAACTACGCAGCCCTGACAGATGCAGCGGATTTCGTTTCATTTTGCTTCTTCCCCTGCAGAGATGAGATTCCTCCCTGCAAGCCCTTTTACCTGCACCAATTCACTCCTATATTCATTCATATAGATGTGTGTGTGTCAAAAAGGGATTACCAGCTTCCCCTTTTTGCATCAGGCACTGTATGCACGTTCAGGACTGCACTGCGGTATTCAATGCCCTCCCCCCGCTGCCGCCCCCACCAGACCATTTTGTGGCCCAGAGTCACTTCCGAAAACTAGGCGCCTCTCGCAGAAGCTGTGGGATCTCCAGTGCTCAAAATATGGCAGGCGCCACCAGCACTCTCATTTCTCGCCTGCAAGGGAGATGACCATGGATCTCATAGTATATCATAGACAGGGCCGGATTGGGGTTTCACGAGGCCCTCAGCTACTGAAGGTAATGGGGCCCTTTATATGCCCAGCTGTCCTTTGTCAACAACAAATGGTCACTGTTTTGTATTTAATATATGCTATATGGTAATTTATGGAGCTAATAGGTATCTAAAGCCATTTGCACATGTTGCCATGCAACCAGTCCATGCAGAAAGTAGGCACCCTATAAAGGTAAAGGTAAAGGGACCCCTGATCATTAGGTCCAGTCGTGGCCGACTCTGGGGTTGCGGCGCTCATCTTGCTTTATTGGCCGAGGGAGCCGGCGTACAGCTTCCGGGTCATGTGGCCAGCATGACTAAGCCACTTCTGGCGAACCAGAGCAGCGCACGGAAACACCGTTTACCTTCCCGCCAGAGTGGTACCTATTTATCTACTTGCACTTTGATGTGCTTTTGAGCTGCTAGGTTGGCAGGAGCAGGGACCGAGCAACGGGAGCTCACCCCGTCGCGGGGGTTCGAACCGCCAACCTTCTGATCGGCAAGTCCTAGGCTCTGTGGTTTAACCCACAGCACCACCCGCGTCCCATAATTGTTTTTGGAGTTAAGTTGAAAGGTCTCTCTCTCCCTCTCTCTCTCTCTCTCTAACACACAAATGCCAAAAGCCATGGCTGAATGCAGGGCAGGCGCTATGGCCTGGGTAGCTGGGGCCAGTGGCGTAGCGTGGGGGGTGCAGGGGAGGCCGGCCGCACCGGGCGCAACATCTGGGGTTAGGGCAAATCCACAGGTTAGGGGGCGCAAATTACTTGCCATGCCCCGGGTGCTGACAACCCACGCTACGCCACTGGCTGGGGCCACCGAGATCAAACCCCCAGATGCCAAGGGACTTCTGCTGCGATGGAGAGGACTTTTACAGGGAGAAGCGGGAGGGAGAGCCGGGAGGCAGAGTGTACGCAGCAGAGAGTGAGGTCTATTTTTATCCTGCCTTCTCCATAAATCTGAACTGCAGTCACAGGGCTGGGATGCGGCTGAGCGATGGGAAGTGACAAATGGGAGGAATAAGACAGCAGTTTTTTCAGCCGGCCAATCCCAGCAGGGTGAAATAGGGGTGGGGGGTGTTGGGAAATAATGACATCAGCAGAATGAGAAGTGCCCTCATCTGGCACACACAGAGAGAGAGAGAGAGAGAGAGAGAGAGAGAGAGAGAGAGAGACCGCTTCCCACCTTCAGAAACACCTTTCAAAAACACGAGGCCAGTGGAAGCATGGACTTACTTCTCCCTTTTTTCCTTGGAAAAAGGGCTCGCTCTAAACACTTTGCTGAAGTTTGGCAACGCACAGGGCTGTGGGGAGCTGCTTTTCACTGAAACAGACCATTAGGGTGCATCTAGCTCAGTATTAGGGACGCGGGTGGTGCTGTGGGTTAAACCACGGAGCCTAGGACTTGCCGATCAGAAGGTCGGCGGTTCGAATCCCCGCGACGGGGTGAGCTCCAATTGCTCGGTCCCAGCTCCTGCCAACCTAGAAGTTTGAAAGCACATCAAAGTGCAAGTAGATAAATAGGTACCGCTCCGGCGAGAAGGTAAATGGCATTTCCATGCGCTGCTCTGGTTTGCCAGAAGCAGCTTAGTCATGCTGGCCACATGACCCGGAAGCTGTACGCCGGCTCCCTCGGCCAATAAAGCGAGATGAGTGCCGCAACCCCAGAGTCGGCCACGACTGGACCTAATGGCCAGGGGTCCCTTGACCTTAAGCTCAGAATTGTCCACGCTGACTGGCAGCAGCTGTCTAGGGTTTCA